CTCAGGATTCCTTTAGCTATTCGGGGTCTTTTGTTGTTCCATATGAATTTTAGGATTCTTTGTTCTATTTCTGTGAAAAATGTTGTTGGAACTTTGATAACTTGTTGGAAGAAAGAAATAGCCACTATAGAGAAAGAGAAAGAAGAAATTCTAATCTTTTAGAAAATATTACTTTTTTCTCAATCCATTTGCCTTTTTTTGGTTTTTGAATTTACCCTATTTCATAGATTTTAAAGTGTACATTTTTTTCATGAAATCTCTGAAATGGAGATGCCTTTAATAATCAGTAGAATCTAAGATGAATAAGTTTTAGAGATCTGCTATGCAACATTATGCTTATAGTTAACAATTACTGTGTTGTGCACTTAAAAATTTATTAGGGTAGATTTCATGTTAAGTGTTCTTACTACAATAAAAAAAAAATCAATGGCGCGTAACATTGGTGGCAGTTGAGACATGATTATATGGAAACCTTGTATTGATATCTGGCAAGATCATTGAGTGCCGGCATCAGAGCATCTTATATTCAATGAAGTACAGTATTTTCCATCTATCTTAGTTTAAATTTTTGAGTCAATGCTAAAACTAGATTTTAATTTTTGATGTACCAAATTTTCACAGTTCAGCTCTTTCTCAAGTAGTTTTGAATTCTGACTAGCCTAAACTACAGAAATCTCTTCCTAGCCATCTGTTACAGGAATTTGGTAGATCCTTCCCTGCCCATCAAAAGAGCAATCTCTAAATGTCTGGCTGAGAACGCTATGAAATCTATCTCTAACTCCATAGAAACCAGCAGCGCTAGAACTTACAGTATCAAAAACCGTGTATCACCTTTTCTGTCTCTCAGCTTTACCCCTAGATTGTCCATATGCAGCTAGAGTGAGTCAACAAGAAGACCTAGTTCTGCTCCCATGAATCCACCTGGACCTTTTCAGTTCTAGAGGTATAATTGGATCAGATGATAAACTTTATATCAAATATCAGAAGAAAATAATTATTAACTCAAGACAGTCTTCTAAAAGTTCGATAATATATTGGCTTGCTCATATCTAATTACAAATTGAACTAAATTTAAAAATAGAATTGTTGAATGCCTAGTATAATAAAAATTGATCTTGCTTAACTAAAAATGGAATAATCAGCAGGCAAGGTTGTGACATAATATGGTTTTGCAGTTCAGTTATGTGAATTGGCCAAATCTCTGCATTTTAGTCACTTTCAGAGGGCTGAGATGATAATGCCAAATGTTCTTCACTTAGAAATTAGTGAAAATGAAAAGCCTCACTGTAAAAGACGTTCACTACCTCTTTAAACTTAAACTGAATTTAGTCTGCTCACTGAGGAAGATACATATATTTAATTGCCTTTTTATGTATGTTTCCAGCATTCAAAGAAAAACCTCGGTATCCACCAAGTCAGGCTCAAGCAGCGATCCAAGACAGTTCCCCTGAAAAGTACTCCTATAAGAAGTCAATAAGGAACCTATTTAAAAACATTCCTTTTGTTCTTCTACTGATAACGTATGGTAAGTGGTTTTCTTTTCTTTGATGTCTATATAAACCTTGGAGCATTATAGATTCTTTTCATTTAATCTAGTGTTTTTTGTTTGTTTGTTTTTTGGTGAGGAAGATTGGCCCTGAGCTAACATCTCTTGCCAATCTTCCTCTTTTTGCTTGAGGAAGACTGTGCCTCAGCTAACATCTGCGCCAGTCTTCCTCTATCTTGTATATGGGATGTTGCCACAGGATGGCTTGATAAGTGGTGTGTAGGTCTGCACCCGGGATCTGAACCTGCAAACCCTAGGCCACCGAAGCGGAGTGTGCAAACCTAACCAATACACGACCAGGCCAGCCCCTAGTGGTTTTTTTTTTTCCTTCACTTATTTTATTGAGGTCATATTGGTTTATAACATTGTATAATTTCAGGTGTACATATGCATGAAATCATACCGTGTTTGTCTTTCTCTTCTGGCTTATTTCACTTAACATAATACCCTCAAGGTCTATCCTTGTTGTTGCAAGTGGGATGATTTTTTGTCTTTTTTTTTCTTGGTGAGGAACATTAGCCATGGGCTAACATCTGTGCCCATCTTCCTCTACTTTATGTGTGGGATGCCTGCCACAGCATGGTTGATAAGTGGTGCATAGGTCCATGCCTGGGATCCAAACCCACGAACCCCTGACCGCCAAAGCAGAGTGCGTGAACTTAACCACTACGCCACCAGGCCAGCCCCCAATTTTGTCTTTTTTTTTTTTTTATGGTTGAGTAGTATTCCATTGTATATATATACCACATCTTTATCCATTCATCAAATGTTGGACACGTGGGTTGCTTCCACATCTTGGCTATTGTGAATAATGCTGCAGTGACGTAGGTGTACATAAATCTCTTTGAATTGTCAATTTCATGTTTTTTGGATAAATACCCAGCAGTGGGATAGCTGGATCGTATGGTATTTCTATTTTAATTTTTTAATTTTTTGGGAAATCTCCATACTGTTTTCCATAGTGGCTGCACCATTTGCATTCCCACCAGCAGTCTATGAGGGTTCCCTTTTCTCCACATCCTCTCCAACGTTTGTTATTTTTTTGTCTTGGTAGTTATAGCCGTTCGACAGGTGTGAGGTGATGTCTCATTGTAGTTTTGATTTGCATTTCCCTAATGATTAGTGATGTTGAACATCTTTTCATGCGTTGTCTTTTCATCTGTATATCTTCTTTGAAAAAACGTCCGTTCATATCCTCTGCCCATTTTTTGCTTGGGTTGTTTGTTTTTTTGTTGTCGAGTTGTATATATTTTGGAGATTAACTGCTTGTTGGATATATGATTTGCAAATATTTTCTCCCAGTTGGTGGGTTGTCTTTTCGTTTTGTTCATGGTTTCCTTTGCTGTGCAGAAGCTTTTTAGTCTGATGTCATCCCATTTGTTTATTTTTTCTTTTGTTTCCCTTGCCTGAGTAGACATGGTATTCAAAAAGATGCAGCTAAGACGGATGTCAAAGAGTGTACTGCCTATATTTTCTTCTAGGATTTTTATGGTTTCAGGTCTTACATTCAAGTCTTTAATCCATTTTGAGTTAATTTTTGTGTATGGTGTAAGATAATGGTCTACTTTCATTATTTTACATGTGGCTGTCCAGTTTTCCCAGCACCATTTATTGAAGAGACTTTCCTTTCTCCATTTGTTCTTGGCTCCTTTGTCAAAGATTAGCTGTCCACACATCTATGGATGTGTTGTTTTATTTGTGGGCTTTCAATTCTGTTCTATTGATCTGTGTGTCTGTTTTTGTGCCAGTATCATGCTGTTTTGATTAGTATAGCTTTGTAGTATATTTTGAAGTCAGGGATTGTGATGCTTCCAGCTTTGTTCTTTTTTCTCAGGATTCTTTTGGCTATTCGGGGTCTTTTGTTGTTCCATATGAATTTTAGGATTCTTTGCTCTATTTCCATGAAGAATGTCATTGGGATTCTGATTGGAATTCCACTGAATCTGTAGATTGCTCTCCGTAATATGGACATTTTAACTATGTTTATTCTTCCAATCCATGAGCATGGAATAACTTTCCATTTCTTTATGTCTTCTTCAATTTCTTTCAATAATGTCTTACACTTTTCAGTGTATAGATCTTTCACCTCCTTGGTTAAATTTATTCCTAGATATTTTATTCTTTTTGTAATAAGTAATTGTAATAAGCGATTGTAAATGGGATCGTGTTCTCGACTTCTCTTTCTGCTAGTTCATTATTAGTGTATAGAAATGCAACTGAGGGCTGGCCCCATGGCTTAGCGGTTAGGTGCACGCGCTCCGCTGCTGGCGGCCCGGGGTTCGGATCCCGGGCGTGCACCGACGTACTGCTTCTCTGGCCATGCTGGGGCCACGTCCCGCATACAGCAACTGGAAGGATGTGCAGCTATGACATACAACTGTCTACTGGGGCTTTGGGGGGAAAAATGAATAAATAAAATCTTAAAAAAAAAAAAAAAAGAAATGCAACTGATTTTTATAAGTTGATTTTGTACCCTGCAATTTTGCTGTAGTTGTTGATTATTTCTAATAGTTTCATGGTGGATTCTTTAGGGTTTTCTATATATAGAATCATGTCACCCACAAATAGCGAGAGTTTCACTTCTTCCTTTCCAATTTGGATACCTTTTATTTCTTTTTCTTACCTAATTGCTCTGACCAAAATCTCCAGTACTGTGTTGAAGAGGAGTGGTGAGGCTGGGCACCCTCATCTTGTTCCTGTTCTCAGAGGGATGGCTTTCAGTTTTTCACCATTAAGTATGATGTTGACTTTGGGTTTGTCATATATGGCCTTTGTTATGTTGAGGTACTTTCCTTCTATATCCATTTTATTGGAATTTTTATCATAAATGGATGCTGGATCTTGTCAGATTCTTTCTCTGCATCTATTAAGATGATCATGTAATTTTTATTCCTCATTTTCTTAATGTGGTGTATCACATTGATTGATTTGCAGATGTTGAACCAGCCCTGTGTCCCTGGTATAAATCCCACTTGATCATGGTGTCTGATCTTTTTAATGCGTTGTTGTATTTGGTTTGCCAATATTTTGTTGAGGATTTTTGCCTCTATGTTCATCAGCGATATTGGCCTGTAAGTTTCCTTCTTTGTGTTGTCCTTGTCTGGTTTTGGTATCAGAGTAATGTTGGCCTCATAGAATGAGTTAGGAAGCATTCCATCTTCTTCAATTTTTTGGAATAGTTTGAGAAGGATAGGTATTAAATCTTTGAATGTTTGGTCTTTTGGGAGGTTTTTGATTACTGTTTCAATCTCTTTACTTTTGATTGGTCTATTCAGATTCTCTGTTTCTTCTTCAGTTTTGGGAGATTGTATGAGTCTAAGAATTTATCCATTTCTTCTAGGTTGTCCAATTTGTTGGCATATAGTTTTTCATTGTATTCTCTTATAATCCTTTGTATTTTTGTGGTATCTGTTCTAATTTCTCCTCTTTCATTTCTAATTTTATTTGTTTGAGTCTTCTCTCTTTTTTTTTTAGTGAGTCTGGCTAAGGATTTGTCAATTTTGTTTATCTTCTCAAAGAACCAGCTCTTAGTTTCATTGATTCTTTCTACTTCTTTTTTTAGTCTCTATTTCATTTATTTCTGCTCTAATTTTTATTATTTCCCTCCTGCTGACTTTGGGCTTTGTTCTTTTTCTAGTTCTGTTCAGTGTAGTTTAAGATTGCTTATTTGAGATTTTTCTTGTTTGTTGAGCTGGGCCTGTATTGCTTAAAATTTCTATCTTAGTACTACTTTTACTGCATCCCATAAGAATTGGTATGATGTATTTTCATTTTCATTTGTCTCCAGGTATTTTTTGATTTCTCCTTGGATTTCTTCATTGATCCAATGGTTGTTCAGTAGCATGTTGTTTAGTCTCCACATATTTGTGACTTTCCCAGCTTTTTTCTTGGTTTCATAGCATGGTGGTCAGAAAAGATGGTTGATATGATATCAGTCTTCTTTTTTTATTTTATTTTATTTTATTTTATTTTATTTTATTTTATTTTATTTTATTTTATTTTATTTTATTTTATTTTATTTATTTATTTTTTCCCCCAAAGCCCAGTAGATAGTTGTATGTCATAGCTGCACATCCTTCTAGTTGCTGTATGTGGGACACGGCCTCAGCTTGGCCGGAGAAGCGGTGCGTCGGTGCGCGCCCGGGATCTGAACCCGGGCCACCAGCACTGGAGCGCACGCACTTAACCTCTAAGCCATGGGGCCAGCCCTGATATCAGTCTTCTTAAATTTATTGAGGCTTGCCTTGTTTCCCAACATATGGTCTATCTTTGAGAATGTTCCATGTGCACTTGAGAAGAATGTGTGTTCTCTGTTTTTGAATGGACTGTTCTATATATATCTATTAAGTCCATCTGGCCTAGTGTTTCATTTAAGGCCACTGTTTCCTTGTTGATTTTCTGTCTGGATGATCTATCCATTGATGTGAGTGGGGTGTTGAGGTCCCCTACTATTACTGCGTTGCTATCAATTTCTCCTTTTAGGTGTTGCTTTATATACTTTGGTGCTCCTGTGTTAGGTGCATATATATTCATAAGTGTTATGTTCTCTTGGTAGAATGTGCCTTTTATCATTATATACTGCTCCTCTTTGTCTCTCTTTGTCTTTTTATTCTTGGAGTCTGCTTTGTCTGATATAAGTAGGGCAACGCCTGCTTTCTTTTGCTTGCCATTTCCTTGGAGTATCATCTGCTGTTCCTTCACTCTGAGCCTATTTTTGTCTTTAGAGCTGAGATGTGTTTCCTGGAGGCAGCGTATTGTTGGATCTTGTTTTTTAATCCATCCAGCCACTCTGTGTCTTTTGATTGGAGAATTCAATCCATTTACATTTAGAGTGATTATCCATATATGAAGGCTTAACACTGCCATTTTATCTCTTGTTTTCCAGGCGTTCTGTATATCCATTGTTTCTCTTCCCTTATATTTCTGACTGCCATTTCAGTTTGGTGGTTTTTTGTGATGGTTTTCTCAGTTTTCTCTTT